AAAAAAAAAAAAAATTGCACTACCTTATGTGGTTCCAGTTCTACAGAGATTTAAAAATAGTTACGCAAAACGGAGCGTGCCCGCTCCAGCCGTTTTTAGAGAGTTAAATCTTTAAAGACATCCTCTTACTGCTCTCCAGACAGTCAGCCAGTTCCTCCTGCTTCAGTTTCCTCAGGAAGTGCAGTATTATTTTCACAAATGCTTGTCTGTTGTTCCTGGTCTCCTCTTTATCTTCATCCTCTAAGACCCCCTCATCCTCTTTCTGGCTCCCTAAGCATTCTGCGTAATCTGAACTCAGAGTCTTCTGGATCTTCTTCAGCTCATTCTTCACAAAAGTCATGATGTTGTCCTCCAGCAGCTAGAACAGAAGACGATATGAATAATCCATCCAGACTGAAATCATTGAACAAAACCTCAGATCCATCAAAAGTAAAAGTGCAGTATGGAGATCACAGTGAACAGAACAGATGTAAGAGCAGTTGTTCTACATGTACAGACCATAAATACAGAGTCCAAATGTGCTTGATGCTGCTTGGCAGGTTGACCACTGGGAACCTTTGAACTCTCATGGTCCACTCTATGAAGAATCATGAAGAATTAGTTCACATTATGACTTTCCACACAGAGATAAATACAAGCTAAAGGACACAACAGATGTTTTGATGTTTCTCTTGGTGTTTCGTAAAATGGAGATCCTTGTCTCTGAGAAGATCAGATCAGATGAGAAGTATGAGGAGTTTTATTTTTGGATTTTGTTTATTTTTGTTTTTACATTACATTTTTAAATTTTAAATTTTTTAAAGCCAAAACAATACCCTACTCTTTTGTGAAGTACACCTCATGAGATAAAGAACTTTGTGAACATTATTCCCAGATCTTATGCATGATTTTAGGTCAATTATGTTAATACAATATGTAAAACGGACACTTAGCTTCTTCACAGTAGAAATGCATCAAAAAAAAAAGAAAGAAAAAAGAAATGCATCAAAAAAAATATTAATTCTTCAATCTTTGACTGCTGTGTTTAAGGGAAAAAACATAACTCAGAAACACACAGCTTTATATATGAACATAAAAGTGTGTGAAAAGGAGCTGAGCTGTGACATTAAACATGTTGGAAATTTTTTTCAGAAAAAACAGTTCAACCTAAGTCAGTAAGAACATTTAGTGACACATTACCTCTCTGCAGTAGAAGTACTTTCTTTAAAATAAGGATTAAAATCCTTTGACATGTCACTTTTTAAGGACACACAGCTGTGTTCAGGCTTCTGGTTCATCCTGACAGAGAAAAAAACCCAAAGCACACTTTAGGGTTAAGTTTTAAATTCTGTAAATAATTGTGAAACTAAAATAGTTTTGTATAAACTAGAAGAAAACAAATTACAAACACGATGAATATGATGGAGCAAACTACAGTAGATATAATAAATCATCCAAAATTCAAATTATTGTATTCAACAATTTGCCCCATTTTAATACTGAGACATACTTACTCTGTGTCAGATAAATGTCTTTCTCTAAAACTAATATGAAGATCCTTTGACGTGTCACTCTTTAAGGACACACAGCTGGGTTCAGCTCCAGGTTGGTTCCTGTGAATAATGATGGAGCAGTGATGTGAGTGCTGAGCTGTGACATGGAGAAGAGTCATGGACAGTTAGAGATGGTCATCTCACCTCTGAGCTTTGGTCTGGCTCTCTCTGGCTCTTTTAGGGGGAGGGACTCCCTCCTCTCTGTCCTCACACTGATCCATGCTGCTCAATTCACATCAGCTCACACACACTTTCTACCTTCACCTGCAGAGGAAACACAAATCATTCATGTGCACATCAACTGAAATCCTCGTTTCCATCATGTGTGCTGTCCAAATATCAGCAGCTTCTTTCCTGCTTCATCTCGGTGTCAGCTGAATGCAGTCAGACAGCAGTGTGAGGCAGAGGAAGCTGCCATCAGCTGCTCTACTTCTACTATCAGTCCACTAGATGGAGACATGAAGCTCACGCGATGCATTCACCGACACATCCTTATTCACTGTGACTGGAAGCTTAACATTCAGTCAGTTCAATACGTCTGAACAACATTTTAAAACATTTCAGCTGATCCATGACTCAAAGAGGATAAGCAGAGTTAAAATCTTCACTTTAATTATTCTTGCGTACTGTGCAGAGAACTGTACCAATTTGCACTCACTGATTTGCTGTTAATAAGCCCCTTCTATCTAGTAGTGTATCTAGTTGTATTTTCTAGTATTAAAGTAGACAGCCAAACATGGATGTTAGTAACTATTATCTACATTATCAATTAATTATCAATTTATATGTTTTAATTTATGATTTTTTTAAAATAAAATTTAAAACGTACGAAGCTGAATGGAGTGTCCAACTGTTCACAGACTATGGATTAATCATCTGATCACTGCTCTCTAATCATTCCTCCATATTTCTCTCCAATGTATGTCAACATGAATAACAGACCAGGCACGTGCGGAAGGGGGGGGGGCTAGAGGGGCACCGGCCCCTTTCCTGATGGGTGCCCAAAGTGCCCTTTTGTTGAGGCAACTTTTTAAAAAAATGAT